CCATGTACCTTGTCCTTAGACAAAATTATCATGAAAATGTTACATCAATGATATTTATTACTATGTAGATGTGACAGGCTTTCTGAAATATTAACCCTTCATTGCCAGGTTAAAATTTCGCTGCCTCCATTGGCGACCAGGGCATTTTAGGGACAGTCAAGGTTTCCCAAGTTTTTCTAGGGCTATAAAAAAGTCTAAAAAATTCAGGTATATTCTTGAACTCTTAAAACAGGTATTTTAACCGTCAGAAAGGTCAGAATGCTTTTTATAAGTCGAAGTTGGAGCACAAGTTAGCGATACAAGCAGAGGGTTGAAAAATTCTATTTAAATAGAGTCGTCGAATAAATAAAAATAAATAAGTATGCCTCGATAGCCACAAGATCGATAGGAGATTTACACGCAAAGAGAGTCGTCTTTGGTTTGTTGAAACTCAAGAGCAATGATACTTTTTCACGCGTTTCAAGAAGTCATCTATCCCTTGATCCTATTATTCCAATTCCCTCCGTTGAAATAGTTCTCTCGTTGCAAGTTTTGATGGTTCCGACAGGGGAAATTACACGTTCCGCTCGAGGGTTGCGTGTGCGCGGAGAGAATGAGGTAGGATGCAATTACTGAAACTATTATTAAACTATTACTAAGAAGCACAGCAGAGGAGGAGCATTTTGTTGCCAGTCGTAATGTAATTGACTCCGTGTACAAAGAAACCAGGATAATTGGTCTCGTTTCTCATACTGGCTCGCGCCGTCCCCGACGTTTCGCGAGACAATTTACATGAGAAGCATGGTCCACGAATGCACGGTCACTACCCCATTAATACGTAAACCGAGCCACCGGTTCACAGATCATTCCATCAGCTAGATGGGCGCGTCGTGGCAAAAAATGTTTCGCGTTAAGAAAACGGTGAATCGTCGGTAACGCTGGAATTCTTCGTGCATTATTAAACAACGCGTATTTCAATCCTTAAAGGATCGTAAGTCTGTCCGGTGGGCCTATTCAGGCTCGTTCTTATTATGCAAAACTACGGCGCCGACACGCCCACCATAACGAATCCAATTTAACGCACGCTAAAGATCGTGAGTTCCTAGTGTATACAGACCTGATAGCGTGCTTTTATATTCAATTTATTAGTCGTGAAAGCGACCACTCTGGTCTCGAGCTGTTTATGGTCGCCGGTGGAGAGAGCCAGGCGCTTTGTCAAATTCGAGGGTTGTGTCCCCGTTCGCCGTGGCATCGCCGCGTTCCATGGAGCTATTAAATATCGTTACCTTATTACGGCTTCTCAATGCCTACCAGGCATATTTATAAACCCAGCGCGGCGCACTTATTAACTTAACTTAACCGGGGATAGTCGAGATCGGCGAGGTAACTCTCGAAACGGTTGCTCATTATCAGTTTTTACGTCCGCGGCGGTCCCGGCTCACGCTAGGCGCATACTTTCGCTTATTACAAAATCGTTTGGCTGCATTCTGCAACCGTTGAAACGTCGGAATGCGTCCAAACGAAGCCCCCACGGTCGCTTTAGCATCTCTGTTAGACCGTATCCCTGCGTGCATCCTCGCGATCGAGGATCCGTCCCCCGGGGAACGAACGCGACCGGAGAAAAATTGCACAGCTGCCTCGGGGTCCGGGTGACTTGGTCGTTTCTTTTCTTCTTTCCGTGGTGTGTACGTGTATATACATAAATATACATCGAAGGAAGGTTTTACCGGCCGCGGGACGGCGTCGAGGCGTCCTCTCGGGCCGATCACGTGAATTCCTTATCTCTCTTTCGCCGTTTTCATTCAGCCGCTGTCGGGGTACGGGATCGACGGACGAACACGGCCATAGAAACGCTCCCGGTGAAGCCGAAGACACGGGCGGAAGAATCACAGCCGGGATATGCCTTCTGCCGCGTTGTAGCGTCATCGATCTTGATCGTCGTACGGGGCGTAACGACGCCGATTGTGCTCGGACACGATGGGCCTGAATAAACGCGAACGAATCTGGAACGGCCTATCCGTATCTCTGGCATCGCAGGATGCATCGCGATAACCGATGATATATAGTCGATTGTTCGACGAACCGCGAATCTTTTAGAGCATTCGGATGACCCACATCTTACCACCCAACGACGGCCGATACGACGCGTTACCGTTCCGTTGCGACAATAATGTTTTCGTCCCGATGACTGCGCGTGGGCAGCCATTTTTCTTACGCGACAAATGAAGGCGATTTGTTATTCCGGTCGTAAGTCATTTTTCTGACGCGCTAGTCGCGAGATCGAGTCGCTGTTCATCTCAATTTTCGAGCGTAATGTCTTAACTCTATGAAGAAGACTTCATTTTCTTTAAGGTCTAAGGTGAATTGATCCATTGCTACCTCCAAGAAATAGATATTTTCCTTATACTAAATAAATAAATGAAATAAACAAAATTCAGGTTAGGAGACGCTTGAACTAAAAAAATATTTTTTCGTTATTTAATATTGTCATGTATAAATTGTTTTTATTATTATATAGACCCTAGATAATTTGGAGAAAAACATTCACATTTCTGTAGGAAACGAAAGACATTTCGTTTTCGTGTAATAAAATCCTGAACATGGGGTTAATGTAAACGCCACTCGGGTGATTTCAATGCATGGTAATGGCGCTATTCCCGGGCTCGGTTTAAATATTCAGAGTGTATTCTAACACGCGGAGCCCATTTCAACGGTTGTTTGAGGACACAAAAACAATGAAAACAATGGATGCAAATATACTCTCTATTTTGATCCCGAATTACAGTAATTTTTATAAAACATTCTTAACTGCAAATTCGACTAGTACAACTGATTCTAAAGCGTTCATGTTCGATGCTTCATAGTTGTAAGCTTTATCTATCATATTTATTATAATTGTTCGATTAGGTATGCGATTCTTTAATGAAATCAACCACAACAATTCAGTGCAAATGGGCGAGGAGGGATAATTGATGATAATGTAATCTAGCTTGCATTCCTTGATGGAAGATTACATTAACAGGTCAATCTTATGTAAATTTCGCAAGTAATCAGTTGCATGAGTTATAGGAAGAAATCTATTCCCATTAGACGCTGTACACCGCAATGAAGGGGTTATTTCGAATGCTTCCTGTGAAATTAACTACACATTACTGAAATACAAAAATGCTTATTACTCGGGAATAATGGGGTAAAATATGGCACGTTATATGAATTTTTTAAATTACAACTGATACCAGATAATTGGTTCAAATATTCTTATTTAGAAGTAGCTTTGAAGCTGATACAAGTAGTCACATGCTAGAATCTTAATATCAATATTGTACTAGTGTGCAACCTGTTTACATAAAGTTCAAAGACACCTACAGTTGATTTTTATTAATGTTGCTTCAACTTAAAAAATCATTAGCGACCATAGTTACTATTAAAATTTATGAAATACAATCCAGTAGATTAATATGTGTCAAAAAGTTTACTTCATTAGAACATGACTCTTCATCTTTGATTTCTTTTAAGCATCCATTTATTCGATACACGTTCCTTTCTCGTTTCCTGGACGATGCAATGATACGATCCATTGGTATTACGAGTTTATCTGCTTAAAAGCAAAGAACTAACGAAGTAAGATGAAATACAATTTTGCTAGAAGTAGCAGCCGACACAAACAGGAAGATGGATCGCGCCAGAGTTGAAATAGATACTAAATTGCTCGTTAGAACGTACTAGGTCTCGTAAGCATTGAATTTTTTCGTGTCACGCGTCGAATAAAAGACGGCATTTGCGGGTAGCTATGGGAACCGAAGGGTTAAACAGTTGATAAGTAATGCACAGCGTGTCGTACACGTGGGAACGTGGCTTTAAACAGAGGCGCAGTTGATCAGTTTGAGCCCTACCCATAAGGCATCGATCCTCGTTAGCAAGGTGTCAACGAGGCACACCCTCTCCTTCGTCGCAAGTCATTACGTGGCACGTAATTTCGGAACGAGATTATCGGCATCATCGATCTCGACGATAAGAAGCGTCGCTATTAGCGCGAGTCATTACACTTTCGTCGCCCCGGAACGCGGCCAAGAGGTTAAACAAGCACCGGTGAGAGGTTTCCTCGGATTTAATCGCGTTGCAGACACGCCTAGCGTTCGATTCTACGAGACTAGCGCCTACTCCCGGACAATGTACTTCTACCGGCTAACAAATTGATTAGTATAATGTCGGTCGTAAGGCGTGTGCGCGCACGCGATCGTTCCCATCGCGGTAACGTTTCACGGCGATCCGATAGATCTCCGGGGATCTCTCGATTCGTAACACGTGCTACGGGTGAAAGCAACAGTGGGTCGTAAATTCGCGCGGCGCGTCATCAATCGGCCGCGATATTCATAAAATCGCGAGCGAGACTAATGGCGAACCGTTTCGCATCGCACCGTAAAACATTCTCGATTAATGATTTTAATTTACGCGGAACCATTTCGCAACGCGCCCGATCAAAAAACCCCCCCTGTTGGACCGGTATCTTAATTAACCTTTGGCTCGATCAATTAAAACCAGCCGTTCGATTAATCTCCGCGACTGGAAAAACGAACGTGCACGATCGCTTGATTATTCCCGTACACGAGATCGCGCAACGATCGTCGAACTTACCGAAAGTATCGTTAACGGAAGTGGATGACACTGTACTTTTATCAGAGCTCGTTTTAGAAATTGTTACTGTGTTGCAACTCGAAGTAGAGGATGAACAAAAAACTTTGGTCCAAGTCTTAGAGAGGATCGAGAGAGAGAGAGGGAGGAAATTGCCAATGTTAATTGCTTCCTAGATACAAGTAGCGATTATCATGAACCATTTTAGCACGTATACTCGGGGAGGAGCGTGTGTTAATGACACGGGTAGCACGATAGTTATCCGAAAAACGAAAGATCCGGGTACCGGCAATAATGTCCGCCGATTCTTTTGGCCCCAGCAATCGCTGATTCATCGACACCGAGAGAAGCAACGAAACTAACCGACTTGTTCTTGCTCGATTTCGCAGGTGTATCCCGGATGGCGGGGACGTTGGTTACACGATGACGGAACTGCAACCGTCGCCGCCAGGATATCGAGTCCAGGATGAGGCCCCGGGCCCACCTTCCTGTCCTCCGGGCCCATACAAGTACGCGAGTCACGGCCACGGGAGCGAGCCTACCAATTTCAAGAGTACCTCGTCGTATCCTCAGGAAGGTTATGGCCTTAAGCAGAGTCCGTCTCGGACGGTGCCTCCTAACGAGTACTATCGCCGCAGAAACGACGGCAGGAGGTCCGCAGAGAACGAGCACGAGGCTGCCAACGCAACAAAGAAAGCCACGGTTGCCGGTTACAACGAAAGTCACAAGAAGAATACTGCAGGCTATAAGAATGACAGCGGGTACGCAATCTCCAATCGAACTGTAGCCGCGTTACTTCCTCCCGTTCCGCTCGTCGATAGCGGCAGGACCGATACGACACGATATTTCTTCTTTGAGTTTAGAATAAGGACAAAAACCTTAACCCTTTGCGCTCCAATTGTTTTCAATATGAACGACTAGTAGCTTGAAGGCAGTTTTGTGGAAGGGCTCTTTTTCCTCGCGAAATTTAAAAATGCTTTATTTTATTTTTTATTCCTTCGTTTGTTTAATTTAGTTTGTGTTACTATAAATTAAATTTGAAGAGTCGTCATAGTAACATAAATATAATTCTTATAATTAACATACAAGTTTTTAACTTGTTGCGACAATCAAGGTGTTCAAACATTTAAACAGATTGAATTTTCTCAAGTTTGATCGAGTATTCAAGCTACTTGGATAATCAAATACTTAACTTGGTTTGAAAAAATGCAATTTGTTTTGATTAGAATTTCAAGTACTTGAAATTGATCGTGGCACAATGTAAAGGAATCCAGCGAACAGCGCATTTGCAAATAGAGTGCAAAATTAACCGTAAAAGGAATAAAACAATATCACGCATCGTTCATACAGAATTAGTAGATCGATCAAAGAGCTTTTTTTATCGTAGTACATCAACACTATTAAGACTTAAACGGTTTCCAGCCGCCTCAATTATCGAGATGAAAGCTTATTACAGAATAAAAGAAGCACAGCATTTTGCTTTTGCACGAAAACTTCCCATTCGATTAGACGAACCTGTGTGCACATCGAGCAAGATCGTACGTGTCTACGTATCTATCAAACGCAACGTAAATTCTGCTCGTTATTTTTACGAGCGCCGATCAGTCTGGATTGCGTGCTTCATCCTATTAACCGGGGGGTCAGAGTAAGCATCGATCCCCATTGCGTGAAAATTAATTGTTCCATTAATGAAGAACAAGTTTCCATGGTCGTGTTTGCTCGCGCTCGTCTATAGGGGCAGCTTTTTGCGGTAACGATAAAAGATACCGTTTGGCAGCCAATTAGACGTTTCTGTATTAGTCTTGGCCCACTTAGATTTCGCGATAGGTTGTACGTAACGTTCCGCGGCGTCTGCCCGTCGTTACGAAGACGGGGTCCAGGAACGACGGTTGCAATTATAGACTGATTATACGCATTTCCAGTTACGTTGAACTTGTTGACTATTCCATAAATTATGCGGCAGCCACGCATCCTGGTAATAAAGTGGTTCAATGACATCGCGCCGGAGAGGAACCCGTCGCCTACCGGTTGCCAGGTATTGCTAACGTCTCGCGTAGTGATTCATCGAGTACCGAGCGCTAATAACCACTGCGGTTCGTTCGCGTTCTCGCGGTATAATTGCTCCCACGCGGCGAGACGATCGAACGTTTCCATAAACGTTCGTTCGAGAGCGGATGACGGGCGGAGCGTGCGCCGTTAAAGGATGCATTTCCTTGTTTGTCCGGACAGGTACAGCGAGAGCCTCGGATTCGACAGCTACACGCTCCCTCTCAATGAGAGAGACGAAGCGTCTCCGCCGCCAACGCCGCCGGTCAGAGACGCGTCCAGCCTCAAAGGCGTCTGCTATGGGCCAGGACACGAGAAGTATCCTTCGTGGCCGAGCGCGCCGGAGAGGCACCCCGACGAGGACGTTCACAGCTCGGCTCATAGCGGATCCCATCGTTCCAAGTCCTGGACCGATCACACCAATTACCCGAAGGAGAAGCCTGCCCAGTACACCAGACCGCACACGAAGAGGCCCAATCCCACGTTCACGCAGCAGGTGATGTATCCTTGGATCCCCACGGGTTTTGTCAGCTCGGTGCTCGTTTAGCCTTCTAAAGGTAGAAATTTGATGAGAATTGTTGTCCGATTCCCTCGAACCCATGTTTCAGTGTCGTTCCAAGGCAGATCGATTGCTCCTCGCGAAATTTAAATACGTGTACTTGGATGGGACTCGACTTTCACTGGTTTCTGAATTTTTCTAACTTAGAGACGGCGCCTATTTTTATTAAACCTTTTTTATAGTCATGGTGTTTGAAATACTGTCAGACGACGAACTCATGATGGATAGATCCACTATCAGTGTGCAAAAACTCGTTAAAACTTAAGTGCTACACTTAAATCTGTAAGAAATAGATGAATTTACGATTTACGACGCGAATAGTATCGAGATAAAAAGTGCTGTACAAATGAATTTGTCTCCCCGAAGCTATTAACCACATTAAGTTTCTACTTTCGTTGTTTTCAATGGCGGAAGATTAGTAATTTGGACTAAATTTTCCGCAAGGTTGAAATATTATTTTGACATTTTAAATACCATAAAAGAAAGGGAGTACGTAGTTTGCAAGTATTAAACCATCGTTTGCCAGTAAGAAGTTCAATAAAATACAAACTTAAACTATTTCTTGAAGCTTCCTCTATAAAGTATAGTTATTCCGAGAATAGGCATTTTGTAATCGACGTCATAATGAGCTGTTAAAAGCGCCGGTGCGACCCGTTTTCAGGTAACCGATCCACGCGCTCGGTTGTTATGGTCGGCTGACCACACCGTTCTCACACCATATTATTTGAATGCAGTCTGCAAACGAAATCGGCAGGTGTCATAGCCGTTTCAACGGTGCTATTTATACCTTTACAACGGTTTTACTGTTCTATTCTTTCCTGGCAGCACTTTTTCCATAATAATCAGATTTACAAGCGTCCGTCATCACCTGTAGCACTGGTTAGAAAACTCGGTCGATCTATTTTTATCGGTTACTCTTAACGTTACGGGTCATTAATTGCACTGGATTGCATTAGATCCCACAAACCGTGACAGCAATATATCGATAAATAATATTTTTTCATTAACAAATGAATTATACAGAATTCACACGTTTGTTCCTGATGTAGTTTCGATTTAGTTCTCATGGTAGAAACCAAAAAAACGATGACTAAAACTCCACCCAATGTTACCTACACTGCATATTTTAATTTCAGCAAAATTCGAACTCCATTTATCGAGAAAAGTTTCTACGTTAAATGATTGTAATATTATCAACCACGAAATTGTAACGAGATTTTACGTTTAAGGATAGAAAAACGTGATCGTTGCCGAGTCCTAAGTGTTTCATGATCAGCAATCGTGATAGATTTTCTTAATAAAGTGCCGGCAGAAGTTGCGCAGCCTCTGCTTTTAAACTAAAAGCGACGCGTCACCGTACCAATTAACTTTCCGTAACGCGGCTCGTCCGAGCGTGTACGGTCGGCGAGTATTCCCTCGTGTCGCGGCGATTACGAAATTGAAAACTCATTTGCAAGGAGGCGAAGCACTTTCGACGGTGTTAACCAGTCACGAACGAACGGGGGAGCTTATCTCGGCGTTTTCAGCTCCGGCCCCCTGGTAATCGTTGCGAAGTTTCACGATGGCGACGACGTCCGTACGGGGAACGGGCAACCGAGTGGCTCCGGAGGAAGTTTAATTGGTCGAACGTGTCGCGTCGAGCGTCGGGAACGGCGTAGGTCAGAACCTTGGTAAATCGTGCTGCGCCCTAAAACGACACACATAATTAATCTCCCACACCCGCACCCTCCTTTCTCTCGGTGACATAATCGTCGTCGACTACGGCGACTTCCTCCGAAGTAGGCCGGCAATTTCGAGACACGCCGTGTGCCGACCCGTGTCCCCAGCTTTTAATTCCATCGTGTACTGCGAACGGGAATTCCATTCTTTCCTGAGCCGCTAGAAGAACACTGGCCAGGCCACGTTAGCGCGCCCGTAATTCATTCGGCTTTCCTTTTGCTCAATTCAGAACTTCCTTATTAGCCCGCGGTGCTTTTTGCCAGCCACCGTAATTAGCTCGTTGCCCGATGGTTTATTTTAAACGAACCGTCTTGATACCCGATGGGAAAAGAGGGTTCGTATGGCAAAAACAGGGCATGATTTAAACTGAATTACGTTGAACAGTTAACGTAAACGCGCACACCACGCGCACGATTACGCAACGAATTACGCACTCGATCGTTGCACGGGGTTGGACACGAACAGTTACTACGAATGGCTCTTAGAAAGAACAACGATTTTCGCGTTGCAGTTAAAGACCGTGATGGAACGCTGCGAGAAGATACCGGCCGAGACTTTCGAGTCGCGTAACAGGAACAATGTGGAAGAGGAACCGAGATTGTGGCCTCGCGTGGATCGCGAGGGTAAAGCTCTGGGGGATGCGGAGTACGTCGTGCCATCGCCTCCTGAACGCGAGCAACAGACCAGTCAGACCCTCAGCCATGCCGATCTGGAAGCCTACGTCAGGAGCTACCAAGATCCTCAAGTGTCCCAGGTATAATGTCTGGCTTAAAGTATTTTCTTCGACTTCAAAATTCGATGTTGAAAATAGTGTGAAGATATCAGTCCAACTCGTTATGCACTGTTAATGAGTTTTATTATTACTACTCTCAATTTTTGCACGTTTCCAGCACCTTCAAAAATACTTACATACCAATTCTGAGCATACAAGTCGGCCATATAGGATTCGCCATTTTGGATTTTGAAATTTTATTATTAATACTCTCAATTTTTACATGACATCTCCAGCAGCTTCAAAAAACCTTACACACCAATTCCCATGCGAGATTTTGTCCTAATGCGCTCGGGAATAATGCTACACCATGCATTGAAGTCTCCCAAGCGGCGCGTCTAATAACTCTCTACCTCCTGGTCCATTTGAATATGTGATAGCGATCAGAATCATATCGTGCAGGAATATATACCTTACATTCATTGTTGTTTCATGATTGTTCATTACATTCTATAACCTTCAAGTAAAAAGCACATTATCATTAATTTACCACGACAAAATATAAGTGGAGAATTTTTTATTACAAATCCACTGTCACACATCTAGTCTTACAACATTAACTATGAACCACTTATCCGTCTCTCTAACCGAAGAGTCATTTACACTAAAATATTTCCATCGATCTAGGTGGACATATACCGGGAGGCAACTCTAACACAAGCAGGTCTCGAGGAATACACGAGGGTGCAACATTCACAGCAGGCCAGCTACGCACAATCCGAAGGCTATCACAGTTACGTTTCCAGCGTGGATTCGACGACGAACACCCCGTTCCTCGACAGGTAGCGTGACCAATAGTTGAAAACACAATTTATTTTCTACCATGCCATGCACGTGTTAGCATCATTACTATTTCAGATTGCGAAGAGACAGCGAGGCGGTGGCGCAGAGACCAGCTTCGACCTGGGAGGACACTTCCAGGGAGGGCAGAGACAGCGTAGTGACTACGTCGAGCGGAAGCGCCTCCAGTAGCGAGACCTTGAAATGGCACGGTTCGATGTCGGACGTCAGCGTTTCCAGCGGGCTACCAGCTCGACAGGGTGCGTCGGATCGATGGCACCACGGATCGATGTCGGACGTTAGCAGCGTGAACGGCGGAATTTTGGCTCAAAAATCCAGCAACGGGTGCCACGACAAGTGGCAAAGTTCCATGAGCGACGTGAGCAGCACCAGCTTGTCGCCGACAACGAAGGGCAGACACAGCGAGAAGTGGCCGGACAAGTGGCAAGTGTCGATGAACGATCGCAACAAACAGAATCAGGGTAGATCCAGCCTGCCTGCAGTGATCAATCATTGCAACGCGTCGACCAACGTGGCCGATGTGTCGACGGTTCGGGAGAGCAAGTGGCAAGAGTCGAACATCGACGAGGAATCGTTGGCGGACAAGTCGCAGACGAGTAGCCAGTGGGACAATTCGGTGCGAATCGAAGCTGACAAATACGGATCCCTCGCTCAGCCGATGTCTCAGAGTCCGATACGTCAGCAGATCGGCCCATCGAGTCCGCAGAGCCCGGAGACTTGGAATCCTATTCACGGATCGATGTCGGACGTCAGCCAGACGAACGGACTTCCGTGCAGCAAACAGTTGATCGCTCATAGTGCCAGAGTACAGACACCGCAGAGACACCACTCCGAAAGCGTGCTGTATTTAGATCGAGAAAGGACCCAACGCAAACTGTATCCCGTCAGCACCACGCAACCTCAAGAATCCACGCAGTCCTCGAGGTACAACATACATGATCTTGATCGATTTAAATTTTATTCCCGTCAAGTACCTTTACTGAATTTATATTTCTTTTCAGAATGAACTCAACGTTGCCGCAACAGCCGCAGATGACAGTAGCGGAACGTATAAACGAATTGGAGAAACAGCAACAGCAGCAAATGCGTTACACGTACTTGGATCCGGAAAAACGCCATCGGGTCTCTGACCCAACGTTGAAAGCCATACAGAAGAAAGCGTTGCTCTCCTTTTACGAGAGACACCATCAAGCCTCTTGGCGATCCGAGCCACAGCTAGCCCAAGGGTCCGCCCCTGCGCCCCAAAGTCCACCGCCTCAACCGCCCCCGCGTCCCAGACCATCCTCGTCCAGACGAGCCAGCTCTGCATCCGATTATGCTAGCGGTGCTTGGAGAGAAAACGGTAACAGAAGTCAGAATCAGGGTAACGGTGATCTACCGAGTCCCAAGCATCAGCACAGCAACAGCTGTGGCAGCCTTTCCACGGACTTATTGGGGCCCGTTATAGTCGGTCCGGCTATATCGATCGACGATTGGGTACCCGAGAGACCACCCAAGAAGCCACATCTAAGAAACGTTTACAACGATCGCGTGCCCAGCCCAGACTTGCCTCCACCTTCGCCTCCAACGGTGACCGAGAACGAGGTCCACGATTGCGACGATCCACTGCCACCTCCACCGCCCGAACTCAGCGACGACTGCTTCACAGACACACAGCAACGCAAGTCCAACAACGCGCACCATCAACCGGAAGAGTCCAAGATCCGCGACAGATCCTGCGACCGTCACAAGCTCGAGAGACACTCGACGAGAAGATCGAAGCACGGCTCTAAGAGAGAACACGACAAATCCTCTGGGAAGTCCTCACCCAATTCGCCCGCGAAACCAGTGGCCCAGGACCAGGATCAGCATCAGTTCGTCAGAGCTGCCATAGCGTTGAAACACGTAGACTCCGAAATGGTGCTGGAGAACGGTGTGTCTGCCGGATTCGCTACACACAGAATGGTGGCCACTGGACGATCCAGCTTGAGATACCCGTCTACTCAAAAGTTAATGGTGAACGGCAGAGTGACGCCAGCGAGAAGAATATCCGAGGAGCGGCCTTTCCCAAGCAGACCTCCGGCGCAACTACCTGATCTCATATCGCAGCGATACAGCGATTCCGGAAATCAAAGGCCCGCTCCTCAGGTTCCAGTGGAGCCACGAATCGTTCGACAAGAGTCCATGAGAGTGGACAGAACGAGACTCGACGTCTCTGGCTTGCTCAGAAACGATTCCACTCAGAGGTTGGAGTCGTCCTCCGGCCAGAGACCTCAGCCCCAAGTGCCCAAAAGTGTCGACAAAAGTGCCTCGAACGGTCAGTCGAGCCAGTCGCCTAGACCGAACTACTTGCCTGTCCCAGAGAACTCGAAGAGCGCCTCCAAGTACCTGGAGGGCGGAAATCACGGCTTCTCGATCGGTAGCCCCGTGAAGACGGGCTACGAAGCCAACTCGAAAATGTTCCCCTCGGAATCCAGTCCGCAAAAGTATCACGAGCCTCCAAAATACGTGCCGAATCATCATCAACGCCATGGTGACGCCACTCAGAGGAACTATTACGCTTTGCCGCCCAAGTACATGGACGCACCTAAGCAGAAGCCTCAGCCACAGTGCCCCACGGACAGATACGGTGGTCCCGGGTCGCCTAGTTCCCCGCCACCGCCTCTGGCGCCACGACAAAACACTCCGGGCAGGAAATCGCTACCGCCCCCGCCGCGGCCTGCTCCTCCGCATGCGCTTCAAGGGTAAGTTCGATTAGTTTTCAATTTACTTGTCTTTCGTTGATTTCTATCATGAGAAGCTGACTAGCGGGACCACGCAATCGCTCCGCCCATCCCCACTTTCGTCGTTTCGACCAATAGCGACAGAGTGGGTGGGGACCTAGGCACCAATCAGACCCGCATTCCTCTCGCTAGCCAACTTCTCGCTGATACACAGTACACGCTCGTCACATTATTCTTTGCGACGTTTATTGCAAGACGACCGTAACATTGCAAAGAGTTTTAGCGTCGTTTCAAAGGTGGTACCGCGCGAGTTTTGGGAAACTTTACGTAGACGATGTTGTCGAGATATGTTTGCGATCGCGAGGATCTTGGTCGTTCGTTTAACGGTTGTCGATTAGCGGTCTCCAGGGTAGAAACAGTGGTCGTTGTAGCAGTTTGATCCACGGAACGCACACGATCCTGTAATTGCGATGTAATTGAATGGTAAATGGCTGCTGCCTCCGCGACGCGGTTCCAGGATCGTCCGTTATACCCGCTGCGCGATGTCCCGTCGTACGTTCTTATCCTGCGATCGATCGGTTGAATTAAAGGTAACCGCGGGTACACCTTCCTCCGCGCTGTCGATGGGGATTATTAACGACCCGGGAAGATCGATAGATCACTCGAGAAGACGATGCGTCGTCGCCCAAACCCTCGAGCGTCGCTTTGGGAGAACACCAAAAATTAAGTGCGTATCACGCACGTTGGAAAGTCGAAATTGGTCGTGCAACGCGATCGACGATGCTTTCGAACAGCATCCATAGCGTGGAAACTATTTACGACGTCGATCGTCGCTATTATCTCTCACGATACATGAAAAAATGATTTACCGTGTACAATTTACACGGGGAATCTATCATTCTAAATTTCTCTGATTCGAAGCCACGGGATCGTTAGCTGTCAGAACGAACGTTAAATAAGAATTACAGATTATTCGAGTCGTGATGTTTTTCGTTATTTTTTTTTTTCTGCACTCGATTAAATCCGTAAACTCGTAAATCCCGAGGGATCAGAATACCGATGCCGATAGTTCGGCGAACTCGATGCACTCGGCGGGTCGTTAATTATTTTCTCGTTCAGTCGCTCGACCGAATCGCATGCATTACCATCGGATTATCATTGCAAATCTAACGGTGCCCATTACCGCCGCTGATTTACGAGCGTGTGACTTTCCCTGAATCGCGTCCGGCGAGAGTCTTAAATGACATCGTCGCTGCGATACGCGTACGATCCTTCGGAAACGTTTATGATCTGTGTTTAAATTAAATCCTCGTACATCGGTAAATTCCACATTAAACTCTCGAACGTTTGGTTTCCCGTAATATTCGCATTACTGTGCCCACGGTGGAGCTCTTTATCAAGATCGAGAAACTTCTGAATTATAACATCGAAATCGTGGTACATGTAATCGAGATTTATAGAGGAGAGACTACATTTACCTTCAAGACTCTGGGTACACGCGTTAATGAGATAGACATTTATACATTTTGCAACTATATGAAATTTATTGCAGATATCCTTCGATGAATACCGCTTAAAAAATTCTAATTTCTCGTCATTTTTCAATTATTTTTTTTAGTATACTTCCTGCAAGGTCTTTTTTACGAGACTACGTACAGTTAATGATTGATTTAATTGCTTCAAAAACTAGAAGATATTATTCATTGGAGAATATTGGAGATTATGCAGCATAGTGCAAATGAAAAATCCTGTTGTGTTAGTACAATTGTTTTAAAATACGGATCAAGGACGATCACAGGGGATGCGTTGCATTTTGAAACAGAGTCCAGGGAGCTGTACGCGAGGCAGAGACCTGTGACCCAACGCCTCTTTGTCCATCGGTCCGTGGGTTTTTAGGTCACGAGACGTTCTCCAGTTCGCAAGAACGAGATGAGTCGTCGAAAGGGGCAGCGAGATAACGACGGCGCAAAAGGAAATTAACAGCGGATTAATAATAATTGCATGGTCGCGGAGGATTCGTCGGGTTGGTCCGTTGGCGTGGGTACAGGATGTAGGCTCGATCTCACGGGGCGATAAGTCTTTTCACCTTTCTTTTGTTTCGTTCTCGCTCTGATTGGGTGACCAGCTGGCTTCTGTGACGGTCGAGCGGTCGTCCGATTGCTGGGACGCAGAGTTCGCGGTCCGAGAGGTTTCGACCTCGCGACACGGTTCGTGGAGTAAACGTTCGGCTCGTGGTTCGACCTTCGACAGGAAGAGAAGACAAGGGATCTCCGGAGCAGCTGGAGAACCGTTGCTTGGTTTACCTCCGTTCTTGTTGCTCCGCGCCTCGGTGCCCGTTCGGGGTATTCGAGCCCGCGCGCGGAGGCTTAACCTTTCGGGCGAACCGAGCCGCGAGGTAGAAATGTCAGAAAAAAGGTTACCGCGTGGCACCAGGGGCGTGTTAGCCTGTTCTTCGACGCTCGATTATGCTCGCCGTGGCGCTGTCTGCTTCGTTGCCACACGATGAGAAGAGTAGAACGCGTGAGAATTTTGTCGACCGTTTCACGGACCCCTCGACGAGACACTTCCCATTTATGGCGCTGCTAAATGCACGACCGAGCTCGCAGTAAAGGAAACCAGGCCATATCGCTACCAATTTTTCAAACCTTTTCTTCTACACAGTATTTATTTATATTTTAAATTGTAAGAAAAATTTTGTTTAGTCGTATATACGGTGGTCCCTAGTTAACGTTTGCTAGTTTTTCCCTCGATATTGTTCACGAAGTCATCCCTCGAACGTTGCAATTTCTGATCATTAAACGAAGTTTAAAAATAAGGAAGAAGAAATACACAAGGACCTAATGTCAAATGCGGCACAAAAGACTAATGATGCCTGGTGACGTTATTAACAAATCAGCCTTCACTATTTTAAAGTTGAACTATCGTACGAGAACTATACAAGTTTTAATACGATGAAGCCTAACAGAGGTAACAATGGACAATTTCCTAGTGCCTCCCTCGATAACGTTCGCGTCACACGCTTGAGCCAGCGAACGTTAACTCAGGCTCAATATCGGGCATAACTGAACGCGTTGATAAAATCGTAATTCGGTTGCATAGATTTGGCAATCGATCACTCGTATACATAGATTCGAAGTCTGCGAGCCTTCCGCCTGTAAGTAAACATACTATATGTCCCACAGCACAGTGAACGTGTTAAAATTTCTTGAACGTAGAGAGCGGAATCAGCGATACCCGAGAAATCGCGTGATTTACTTTTCACCGATAAAATCTACGTTGGCACGGCCCGACGAAAAATTCGCTGATTCGGATCGGAGATCCTATTCGATCCGGTAATCTAATCGTGGCAATTGCTGCCGCGATTACTCTTCGCTGTTATATCTAGTCGAGTGCACAGGAATGTATTTTCACTGGAGGTGTCTTTCGGAGTACCGGGCGCAATTAAAAGTCCCGACGGAAATTCAAGTAGCCGTGGTTTCGCTGAACGGCCGGCGCAGTCCGCGCATAAATCGACCCTGTCCGGGGGAAAAATACGCTATGAATTTACGCAGGCGATACTTCTCGCGAGGAATTACGCGACCACCCGTGGCGTTATCGCCGATTCTCATTACACGGCTATTTTCGCTTTTCATCACGACGAGTTCGACGCGTTAATTGGCCGGTGAATTCCTGCTTGGGCGTTATTCGTGACAAGCTAATGTCGCGTTAGTTTGCTCCCAGAGCGAGACCAATATGCAGAGGTTTCCGATACTCGGTTATATTACATTTATAGATAATTTATTTCTGATTTAACTTATAATGCCCAAATAAGAGAAGATCGAACTGGTGTCATCCAGACCTGACCCAGGCAATCTTCGTTTCCCATTTTCGACGCATTTCTTCCTTTTCCCTGTTGCATCGCCGAGTAAAACTCGTTTCACTGGGTGCCAGCACCTGTGTATGGAGGCAAGACCGCGACCTCGACAGGGTAGCCAACGACTGCGTTGGGTATCGCTTAACACCGGTTGTTCCTTGTCTCCCGACCAAGTCGGATGACAACGCGTAAGGGTATATCTGGAGAAGAAAAAGACGTGTGTACACGGCATATCGTATTATCGCGAAACGAATGACTGCGATTCTGCCGATTTCATTACGGAACATAGATACGCGAAGACTCGGAACGATTATCAGTTTGAAGACGTCGATGTTCGAAAGTCAGATACTGAGCGACACGAGTAATTTTAATCGCGCGACGAACCACTTTTGTTAACATGTTCCAGTCGTTTGTCAATCCTGTACGTTCAATGAGCACAGTAACGCCAATTATTCGCAGACATCGATTTCAAATCACACCGAAACGACCAAAGAAGAACCCGTCGCTATCGATCATCCGCGTTGGGTAAAAATTTATTGCTCGTTCGAACTTTCTGTTTGTTTTGTCGATCGTACCAGACCCGATAAGCGATTTCAAGACTATCGGGGAAAACAGCCGTGTCTGTTCGATCGCGGAAATGATAGATTAACTGGAAAATACACAACGCTTATCGAGCCCGGTTAGATTTATCGACGATCGATCTCGCTAAAAGCGATACGAGTGTAAACAATTGACGCGCGAAAGATTTTTATCGGCACGATCGAACCACGTAACGCGCATTTAATTAGTTTAAACTTTCGAGTCGTAAAAATGATGATATGCTCCTGGCGGTTCTCGTCGTACGCGTCCCGCGCAAGTTTTACGATTATTTCCCAATTGTTGGAGCTCTACGTGCGATTATTCGCGACGTGTACGCGCAGATAACCGTGTCGCAACAGCGTGAAGCAACGACGTACCGCATCTGCTAATTATCAACGGCAATTAAAAGGGGAACGACGCGGAGCTATTCGTTTCAGCATAAGTACCCTTCGTCGGATGGAAACTCGAGCGACGAACAGCTCCTTCGAAACAGCCTTCCACGACGTGTAACGTCCTCCCTTCGTGCGTGGCCAGACCCGTTTGACGACTTGTTAAGGAACGGGGTTAATTGCATGCAATCCCGACTAAT